GTTGGGTGTTGTGCTCTTCTTTCCTTTCACCCATTCCCCATCCTGGTGGCCTTCTTTTCACTTTCAAATTTAGGCCAGCTGCAACTAAGCACATGAGCGCGGGTTACGGCATTGCGGTCCCACAGCGAGTTTCGCAGACACCGCTCAATTTATAGATAGCACCGGCAGGATATACACAGAAGGGAGCGTTGCCATTTGGTTAACATCCTTATTCGATTTCATAACAATACGGACGCCGGGAAGAATGAGCAAAGGTGACGGTTGGGTCACCAAATGAAATGAAGAGACCCACCTGCGGTGGACAGAGCTCAGTCACAAGGACGGCAGTTTCTACTCAAATCCTGGAAACCGAAAAAATAAAAGGAATGAGCCAAGTCTTATATGTGCTGGACATCCCTGAACTTGACAAAGCTCCGCCTACGGGGCGGAGCTTTGCTAAGCTCATGGATAGGTGTACACACGATTGAGAGATGCTTCTAGAAACAATCATAACCTTCCTCCTAGAATGCTAAAAAACTGCTTAGCGATGATCAAGAAAACGTGATTAGACTCCCAGAGAAGTTGAAATAAAAAATTCACAACTCTCTTCAGGATCGTTTTGGAAAGCGGAGGGAAGTGATGAGCGGCAATGGAACGATTCCCTTCTCCCCGATTCCCTAAAGTGGACGATGCTAAGATCGGAAAATTATAATTATTTCAGAACGTCCCAGAATGCCTGAAAAGAAGTGGAGCACGGCTGTCGAAGGAATGTAGTTAAATTCTCACAGGGAGCGGACGTGCATCGACGCACGTAGACCTTAAAATGAACGTAATTCTGATAAGAGACGTTTTAATACCCGAAAAAAAGTTTGAAGGTTGGAAATTCGGTCAACTCTCATGATGGTGTAGTTAAAGCCAATGATCTTCATATCTGTCTGAAAGCGTTCGTAAACATTACGTCCAAAATCGCTCTATATATGAGCCATCAAAATTACCTACTATGCAAGAACTCTATTTTTGTCCGTCTATCTATCTATTTATCACGATATTGTCTGAAGAAGCATCTTGGGGCTGGGAGTCCGGTCAATCCCGTTGTGGGTAGAATATAGCAAGAAAAAATAGCGCTTGTGAACTCAGCAGAGCTCTGAACACGGAGAAGAACGTGCACCACAATGGGTCGTATAAAGGAGGAAGTTCATAATTTTATATCCGAAAAGGGAAACTAATTGGCAAATCGGACGAAGGAAGCTAATCCACGGTGGGAACATCCTCCACAAAAGCGGAAGTTTCACACAAACTCAAAACCATGACTCGTTTCCTTTTTCTGCAGAGCATGGTTCGATCACAACTCATCTAAGTTGTGTAGAGAAATTTCGAAGACGACAGTGGATTCTATTATGTATGAAGCGCTCGCGTCTGGGTCTGCCTGTCTGCCTGTTTGTTTGTTTGTACGGTTCGATATCATCTGAAGAAGCACCTGCGAATTCTGGTCAAGTTTAGGATGGGTTGGGCATAGGACAATGCTGACAGAGTACATGTGAGGTCAGCGAACACCACCCACAGGGGCGGGGCATGCACGACAGTGGGCAGTATCTTGAGCAAAATGCCTGGCTTATGTTTTAAAACAGCCAATTCGCCGGAAAAAATGGGCAAAGGTGAGGGATGGGTCAACAAGTGAAATAAAGGAGACTCAGTGGTGGTGGGCGCAGCGTCCTTGCAGTGGGCGGCACTTGCCACATAGGATTACAGCTCGATTCCAGGGAAGCGAGCAGGCCAGAAAAAACATGTGTGTGTGAAGTGTGCAAGGCCTTATGAGGGCCGGACGGGTGCGAAAGCTTGTCGAAATTCCGACCTCATTCTTGAAGAATTCATAACTATGGTTGTGAAGGTCTGGGATCAGAACTCTGTAGTGGGCGTGCACCACCAAAACAGGGCGGGACTAACCAAGGAGAGGTAGTCTACTTACCGTGGCACTTCGAATGGAGACCCGGATGAATCGATAGCGTAAGCACTTGATATGCAAGCGACGAGTTCGCATATCCAAGTAATACTACTGTCAAGCAAATTTCCAGCCCCCATAACTTTTCAAGGAAAACCATTTTGCAGTTTTAATTTCCATTTTCGTGAACAGCATTCAAAAGTCTATCGATTCATCCGGGTCTCCATTCAAAGTCCCACGGTAAGTAGACTACCCCTCCCTGATAAGAAGAAATTCACAGCTCTGTTTAAAGACGTTGTAGAATGCGGGAAGAGAGTTGTTGGAGGCTATAGAAGGTCTGTGGTCAAAACCCAAGTTTGGGCGGGGTTTGCACCAGGGCAGGCAGAGCTATCAGAGATTCATAATTCTGTTCAAAAAAGTTCTAGACGCGGAGAAAGAGTGGTTGCAGGCGAGGGAAGAAGTGTGATGAAATACCTGACTCAACTCGAGCCCGCACAGGGGTGGGCGGGGCTAAGATCAGAAGTTCGTAGCTGTGATTGGGAACGTTTTATAACGCGGAGAAAATGGTTAGAGGCAGCTAAAAAGAGGGTTGATCGAATTTTCATAGTGGGGTCTGCACTGAGGCGGACGTTTCCATGTTCAACCACTAGTAATTCTGCATAGAAGAAATATATCGAGCAGGATGCTCGCAAAACGCTTTGGCCTTCAAATCTAGAGAGAATAATCTCATTCTGGTAATCCAACACTGCGCTGAATGACTCCGTCGTGGATGAGCTGTCATGGGCTTGTAATGTACGCATTAGCATGCATAGCCCAAATGGTAAGGTCTCTTGAACCTGCTTGACGACTTGCAAACGATTCACGTTCTGATTTTGAAAAGTATAAGGAAAAATGTTGATGTTCATCTCATAGACTACACAACAAAGGCCGTACCTGATGCACACGATGCACTCTGTTCTTCTCAACCCTCATCACATGGATGCCAATTGTCACATAAGGATCTCTTTTCTTCATCCCTTCGTTGGCTTCACTTTGTGTCAACGCCAGCATGATTTCTCCTGGTTCAGATACGTCAAGAAGAAACTAAAATGAGAAAGTGAAAGCGTACTGATGGGAGAAATGAATGCCTTCATCAAAAAAAAAAATAACGGATCAAAACTGATGTTAAGGAGGATCCTACCTGAGGATTGTTACAGAACGTGGCTGAGAAATTTTGACAGCCCCCGGCGAAATCATTCGGAGCTCCACTTTTCGCTCCATTGCACGTCCACTCGCCATAAAACGTTACTTCATGGAACCTCAGACAGAAGCGGGATTATGTGAATGAATTCTAAGGAAAAGTAAATTTATATGATGAATTTGAATGATTCCTAAATTCCGTCGTTAAGCGCAGCACGCTTATTTGAAGATTATATTTATTTGCGCACAAACGAATGGGAACACTACAGTAGCTTATGAAAGAATTATTTCCTTTTGAAATCGACACTATATCACCTTATCAGCACATAAACACCTAAGCAATACACACATGGGTGGAGAGGTACAAGTGTATGTAGGTATGTGGAATTGAAAAGAAGCTTTCGGTTCACCAAATTTGAAAAAATAGCCAATTTGTGTTGCTACAAAGTTAATAGTGGGAAGATCACGACTTGATTCAGTTTACGTAGTGAATTGAAAAAAAATATATTTATTTACCAGTGAAAGTGTCAGCTGAGGATTAAAGAATCCGGTTCGCAAAATTTTGAGGTGTTACACTTGGTGGACCCAGTATAGAGCGAGTAAGAGTCTGTATTTAAATCGTCATGGCTCCCGTCGGATGATGGTCGAACGAATGACTTGACTGACTAGCCATGGGTTGTTCCTTTCAAATTCGGAAGCGAAGTGTGTATCGCACATAAATTTCAAGAAAAAAATAAACCAACAAAACATCACGCCTGTGAATGTTTTAGAATGTTTCTGAGGCAAAACAAAAAAAAATTTCACATGCAGATGAGCTCGGCGTAATTCAAGAGATCCAGCCGGTGTCACTTTTAAATACCATACTACAAAACAGCGCATCCAAAAGTAGAGGATCACCCTTATTTTTTGCATTTTAAAAATAGCTATTTGAACATTTTCAGAATAACTACAGGTTTCGGCACTACTAGCAGGTTCATCACCTTGAATAGCCCCCATACAGAGGTTGGCTAAATCAACTTTTACTTTGTTTTCGAATAATTCCTGGTTTTGCACAGTTTCATTAGTATAAGGTCACGCTGAGTTCCATTATTATAAGGTCACGCTGAGAATTTGAACTATTTATCAGTATCAACGATAAACAAAATTTGGTTAATACTCTACGGCTGCTCCTTGTTTTAGAGCAAAATCAAACAACCTCCATGGCGTACTCGGAATCAGGCGAGTAACTGGTAACTTTATTCCAAGATTCAACAAGTACCTGCTTCAGCTCTTCTGTTGGATAGGAATTGCGGTTGTTGGCATGAATTTTCTTACATTGATGCCCTACAGGCTTTACGTTGGCCTGAGATTGGCATTGCAGGTTGCCGAAAGCGGAACTCTTACATTTTGAAAGGGAAATTTATTTTTTTTATTGCAAAATTAGAAGATATTCGGCTGTATGGCTCACCTGCAGTACAGACTTACTCTGATCCATTTTCATCCTAAATTCTTTCATCCCAGATTCAACTTTACAAAATTATTGCGGTGATCGGTTAAGCACAGATTCTTTTTCCTTGCTGCTTTGACGATGTCACTACTCCTTTTCACGGTCTTCCTACTAGTTGTGCCGAGACTTGCCAGTTCGAGTAGTTGTCAGTCCCAAGTCGAAGTGGCCATTTGAAATGAGACCTACACTGCTAGACATATTTTTTGATGCTAATTTCAGACCTGCATTAAGAATCTGCCAAACGATTTCCTGAACGAAGTTATGGAAGTGGTCTCCGACTTCATTAGCATGGAGGAATGGTCACCTTACTCTCCAAATCTCAAGGCCCTTGGCTCTCTTAGTTCAGAGTTTCTGCAAGTGAGCTTCGTGAACGGATTCACTATAGAACGCCATATTATAGTACAGCGCATTCATAAGCATAAGATCACCCTTGATTCGTGCGTTCTTACAAGGGAGGATCCCAAGTTCAAG